GAGAGCCTCTGAGAGAGAATATTTGCCAGTGTTTCGCAGGTTTTACTTGTGCTAGTAGCATCTGTGTCCTTCTTAAAGGACTGAGTTTCTTGAAGACTGAGTTTCAGATGTGGTCCTGCAACTGATAGCTGTTATAATGGGCCCTGTGAGAGGCGGCCTCAAGGTTGTGTTTGTGTCTGGCCAGCCAATTGCTTGTAGACTAGACTTGTGCACTCTTCTTGTGAATGTAGCTTTGGTGGCACATCTGAGTTGACCAGCTGTTTTTGGGGTAAGACTTGATGTCTTTTGTATTGGTCCATATCAAGAATACATCAGATGCTGTATTCTGCAGTGAAAAATGGCTGCTCTGAAATGGCTTTCTCACTCTGAGTTTCACTCTTGACCCCCCCCCCCCCAAAACACTACCAGTAATAACAACATATACTTTCTGTCCTTCAGATCTCAAGTCTCATGCATCTCCTAACCTCTCATTCTTGCTTTAGGTGATCTGGGTGTTTTCTCTGGTGCTTGCTGTCTTGCTGTTGGGTGGGTGTTACAAAGGAAGTTGGCAGGATTTGTGCCCAGCGATGCTCTGCCTTTTTCTAAATCTATTCTGCCTGGTGTTTTGGAGTCTACTGGAGTAGGTTAGGTTTGGTTAAGTGAGCCCTGTGGTTTCTTGTGACCCCCACTCTGGCCTGCAGTTGCCATAGGGACCAAGAGCCCATTGTCCACATTGCTGTAGGTAGGTGCTTGGACAAGGGGTCAGTAGAACTGAGTTCAGGTACAGACTTATGTTGGGACACCAATGCTCTTCTCTGAACTTATGTTCTGGAGACTTTTATTGTAACCATGGAAACCACTCAGATCGTAAAGAAAAGGTTCTAGATACATGTCTAAAAGCCATGCTCCCAGTGGGCTAGCTCTCCAAGGGCCAAAACTGTAAAATTAGCAGCCAGGAAGCATAAGCCAAAAGATAGCTTTTCTTAGCAAATGTTTCTGAGGGCAGTATAAGCATTTGTTTGTGTCCCTCAAAGGGTGTTTGATATCAAGCTCATCTGTCTCAAAATAACCAGTTTGATGAGGACTGTCAGGCTCAGGAGAATGCCTAAAACATGTGGTACTGTCTGTGAAGCCATTGTGGCAGGCTCTTTGGAATTCCTCGTTCTTGTGTGTCACTCAGAACCTTGTGGGACTTGGGTCCTGACTACTAGGAAGGAACAATGTTGCTTGCTCCTATTTGGGCTTCCATATGGGCTGGATAGTAACTCAGTGGTAGAGTGCATGTCTAGCATGTATTTGGTCCCTGGGTTTGGTCCCAAGAAGCTTCACTGGCTCCTTTCCTGGATTATCTGGGTTAAGTGTGTTGGTGCACAGTTAGGTCTTCCAGGTTCTGAGTCAGCTTGTCACAGTCTATTTAAGAATTTATATCTTGGTCAGGTGTGATGGCACACATCTTTAATCCCAGCACTTGGGAAGCAGAGGTGAGTAGAGCTTTCTGAGTATGAAACCAGAATTCCAGGCCAGCCAGGGCTACACAGACCTTGTCTCTCAAAAGAAAGAAAATTGTGTCTTGCCTGTGTGGTGATTCACAGCTATAATCTCAGTAACTCTCAGGAGGCAGTGGGATCAGGAGATCAAGGCCGTTTTAGGCCACATGAAATCCCATCTCAAAAACAACACCAAAAGTTTAAGTTTGTGTCTGAGATTTTCCTTCCCTAGTACACTGCCACCCCCCTTCTTTTTGGCTTTTTGAGATAGGGTTTTTCTCAGTGTAGCCCTGGCTATTCTGGGACTTGCTCTGTAGACCGGACTAGCCTTAAACTCAGATCTGCCTGACTCTGCCTCCCAAGTACTGGAACTAAAGGTGTGCACCACCATGCCTTGCTTGCACACTGACTTTTTGAGACAGGTCTCAGCTTTTGCTGAAATATCCAAAGCTATAGTAGATTAAAATTTTTTTCCTAGTTGTGTTTGGCCTTATGCATTCTAGGCAAGTGTTACCAAAGAGTCATACCCCTGGCCACTATATTTTACGAATCTGCTCTTAAAATAATGTTACTTCATTTTCTTAGGTTGAAGTTGTAAGCTGGAAATAGTAATTATATTCATGATTTTTTAAAATTTATTTTTATTTTTTGTGTGCATATGTAATGTATGTATATAAGTGTTCATGTGTGAGGGTGTGTTTGTGCCATCCATGGTGTGCATAAGGTGGTCAAAGGACAACCTCAAGTATTAGTATCCATTTTTCACCTTGTTTGAGGCAGTTTCACTGTTTGCTACTGTGCTGCATACTCCAGGCTAGCGGGTTCAAGGGCTTCTGGAGAATTCTCCTGTCTGCCTCCCATCTTGCCATAGAAATGCTGAGATTACAGATGCATCATAGACACAATGGTATGCATCTAGCTTTTACCTGGGTTCCCAGAATCTCAACTCAGGTCATCAGGCTTGAACAGTACTAGCTTTTACTCACTAAGCTAAAGACATCTCTTGTCTAAGAGGTTTTATGTATGGGAAATACTTGGCTAGTATTGTTGTATTCCTTTTTATTCAAGTTTTTAAACTCTACATTTGCAGACAATTTCATTGAAACTTTGAACACTGCTCCAAACACAGAAAAGTGAAATCTTAATTACCTGCTGAGTTTCTTAGACCCTTATTGCAGTCAGGTAGTCAGATTTCGTTGGTAATGTGTTTGGTTAGCACCTCCATGTTTTAAATACACGATCTTATACTTTACCTGGCACGATGATAGGTTCACCTGAAAGAAAAAGTCGTTTCCTCCTGCCATAGAGCAGGTACAAGGTTACTAATGGTGGTTGCTTAGCTAGAACCTTTGGGAGTGTGCTTCTGCTGCCTTGGCCTTCTGAGGAGGCTGCTCTTAGGAGCCCAGGCTCACACACTACACTATGGGGGTAGCCAAGACTCCCTTCCGTGTTACCATCTGCTGTTCTTTTCTCTACCTTGGTATTCATCATGTTTGGGTCACAAGATGTTCTTTCTAGATTTGTTATGCATTTTGCAATCTCAAGATGAGCATCTCCTTTAGCTCTTCTTGGTAGCTGAGCCTTGCTCGCTCTTTGCTGTTGTGTTTCCAGAAGATAACTTCTTCTTTTATTTTTTTTCTTTCTCGAAACAGGGTTTCTCTGTAGCTTTGGAGCCTGTCCTGGAACTAGCTCTGTAGACCAGGCTGGCCCTGAACTCCAAAGAGATCCTCCTGCCTTTGCCTCTAGAGTGCTGGGATTAAAGGTGTGCACCACTACTGCCCAGAGAGCATTGGCTTCTTTATGGTTCCGTATTTCCCTTTTCCTTCCTTGTTTATCTAGAAAGTAGTCAACCTTGTCTGTCCTAATTAACTAATACACTGACATACTGCCTTGTTTACATAAATTAACAACCATTCAGTCTACTTAGCCCATAGAGTTATATTGTTAGACTTTAAAAAATAAAATGGAAAAAAAGAAAGAAACAAACTATGTTTGTATCATTGTGAACTCATGACCTTTTCTGAGGTTCATCTTATTTTATCTGATCAGACAGCTTTCAGTTTTGAATGGAGCATGTTTGGTCAACCCCCCACGTGCTGCTATCTTACGGAACAGGCAGGTGGTTTCAGAACCTGACTCCATCGAATTGCACTTTAAAATTTTCTTTTATGTAGTGCTGGGAATTGAACCTAGGGCCTCACACATGCTAGGTAAGCACTGGGTTATATAAGTTTCCTAGAGTTCTTGAGTGAGGACTGTTAAGGACCAGTGCCTATGAAACTTGGGTATGCTGAATTCATTTTATGATGGTTGGGTGGAATGTGTGGTGCATGTACTTGAACAGTATGCAATCTACTCCTCCTCCTCTTCTTTGTTTTGTTTTTCAAGACAGGGTCTCTCTGTGTAGCCTTAGCTGTTGTGGAACTTACTCTGTGGACCAGGCTGGCCTTAAACTCAGAGATCTGCCTCCCTCTGTCTCTGGAGTGCTGGGATTAAAAGCATGAACTACCATTGCCTGGCTCTATCCTTTTCTTTTAGCTTTTCTTTTTTAATTTTTATTTATATTTTTTAAATAACAGTGTCTTACTGGTCTGGGACTTGACAATTAAGCTGGCTAGACAACACACTAGCAATTGCTTTCCCGCTTTCCCAGCACTGAGGTTAAAGGTGGACTACCAGGTTTGGCTTTGTTGTTGTTGTTGTTGTTGTTTTTATTGATTTGCTATTGAATCCAGGACCTTATGCATGCTAGGCACCTGCCTACTACTGAGCTATATCCACAGTCCACATTTGCTTGTTTGTTTTAATTCTGCAGATTAAATTTAGATCCCGTGCTTTCAAATCAAATAGTTGACCGACTGAGCTCTATCTTCCCAATCTGTTATAGTCAGGATAGTCACATCTATGAGGATATACTAAGGACAGAGCTGAAGAGAATGTGTTTATGGATGTAGGTAAAGTTTTTGCAATTTTTACTGCAAGTTTAGCCCTGAGTACTTAATTTCTTTCTCAGTGTACCTATTTCCCACCCCTACCCCACCTCTTTTTTTGGGTGCAGAATCTTGGTATGTAACCCAGGCTGGCCCAGAAGCCATGATTTTTCTGCATGCTAGGATTACAGGTTTGCACCACCACGCCTTGCTTATGCTTCAATTTTTAACTGTGCTTCCTTTCATCTTTCCGTCTCATTGACAATTGTTCTATCATCATTTTATTAACAGTTGCCAAGCTTTCCAGGAGCTCTTTAACAGTAACACTAGCCATAATCATGAGTATTCTTGCTTTATCATGAATTTTGCCAGCATTGGGTGTCTCTGTATAAGGTGAACATATTCTAGAATTGCAGATGCACACTATTATTTCAGAGGATGTGAGCAAGGGAGAAAGAGGGAAAGTGGCTGCAGTGGATACCCAGAGTCAGACAGATGTGCTGCCCTGCCTTCAGCAGTATCATAGTAAAGTGCTTGTGTTTGAGTTTATCTACTTAGGACAAGAGTGCCCCTTGACTCTCACCTCTTTCCTCTGTGTTTGCAGTATGATGCTGTTCCTATTCAGTCCAGTGTGGTGCTATGTTCCTGCCCATCCCCATCAATGGTGAGGTCCCAGACTGAGTCCAGTTCGGCCCCTGGCATGCCTAGTGGTGTTACCAGGCAGGGACCCACCATGGATGGCACCACAGCCGAAGCCCGACCAAATACCAACCCCTTGCAGCAGCACCCTGCCCAGCTGCCACCACAGCCTCGCAAGAAGCGGCCTGAAGACTTCAAGTTTGGGAAAATCCTTGGCGAGGGCTCTTTTTCGACAGTGAGTATGTGCCTCTGCTGCTGCCGCTTATTGAGTGGAGGATTATTCTGAGATCACTGAGTGCTGAGAATACCTGAGCAGGCACCTGGCATGGAGATCCCCAGGAGATGGTTTCATGCCCTTGTGGGTTGCGTTCTGTGAATGTCACTAGAGTCTTGGAGGGAGTGGACTCCCTGAGTGGACTACCTGAAGAAAGCTTGCTTAAACTGGTTTCTTCCCTCCCTCCCTCCCTCCCTCCCTCCCTCCCTCCCTCCCTCCTTCCTTTTTTTTTCTGTTTTGGTCCATACCTTTACTCTATATACTCAGGAGACTGAGGCAAAGGAGTTTAAACCTGGACGTTTCAAGGCCTCTTGGTAATATATTGAATGAATGCCTGACTCAAAAACAAACAAAAGCAGCTGTTGATTCATGTTACTTTAAAACTACAGTTAATGCAGTATGGGCATGTATGTTCTGTGTCTTCAGGTCTTACTGAAGGGGCCTTAGGAAGCCTTTAGTTTCTTAGGTTGAAATTTAGTATCTTTTTGGAGACTTTTGGTAACATTCAGTGACCTTTTTTATGTCTGGGTTTTTTGTTTGTTTGTTTGTTTGTTTTTGTTTGCTTTAGAACCTAAACTATGACACTAAGTATTTGCTGGAGAGTTATCCTACAGATTTTTTTTTTTTCTAACTCCAGGCCAAGTGGGTATTTCTGCAGAGTGGCCAAGGGGTCACTCTCAATTCCAAACAACTGTCAATGAAACAGATTTCTGTGTTCCATTTCCAGTCTGAAATAGGCACTCCAGGGTAGTTCCAGAGGGACTAACTTTTAGAAAGTTCCTAAACAACCAGTTGTCTTATACCTGACCTTGTGAAGAATCTATCTGTGCAATTTGTTTCCTCTTCTTCTCTTTATTTATTTTTTTGGAGACAGAGTCTCACTTTCTTGCCCTAACTAGCCCAGAACTTCACGTGTAGCTCAAGCTGGCCTTGAACTTAGAGATTTGCCTCCTCTACCTCCTGAATGCACACATTAAAGATGAGTGTCGCCAAGACTAGCTGAATTTTTTTCTTAGCTTTATATCTGTGAAAGATTCTAAAATACAAAGAATATAAAATATAGCTTACTTATACTCATCTCATTTTAAATTAACTGAAATTTACTTTCACTGTAAGTAACAGCTCTGGTGGTAAGTTTGTTTATAGGATTGTGGCCTTATGAAAAAAGCCTTCAATCATGAAGATTGTTCTCTGTGCCTTTGGAACGCACCACACCTTACAGGAAGAGGAAACTGCTTTGAGATCCCTGGGTGTTGCACTCAGCTACAGATGATATTCTAGTGAAGTTCTTCCTTTTTTCAGTTTACTCCTTTATATTTTTTTTTCCCGCACCATCCTTCCTGGGTGGCACAGTTATCCTTCTTATTCAGTGCCATTTTGAACTTATGCCATGAGGTACCTGGGAAAGCACTGCCAGCAGGAGACTCCTTCCTGGCTCTTGAAATCTATAGTCCTGGATCTCGAATGAGGTGTTACACTGATTCATCTCTCTATTCCTGAAATAGCGAGCACTTAAATTAGATTTCCAGGAGAGGAATAAAGGGCATACGGTTAGCCAGATTGAGCAGGATATTCACTTGGCAGAGCTTGAAGCTGGTGCTAGAGAGCAGACCTGCTCCAAAGTACACTATCACATCCAAGATAGTAATGACATCACTCCTGGTGACAGGGAGCAACATGTCCCTTGCAGTTCTTTAGAAGACTCTCTCTGTTCTGCGGGAAACCTGCTTATGAAATGCTAAGTTTAGAAACCAGCTCACAAACTGGGCATGATGGCACATGCCTTTAATCCCAGCACTCAGCAGGATAAAACAGGTGGATCTCTAGGAGGTCAAGGCCAATCTGGACTACATAGTAAGCTCCAGACTAGTCGAGGCTACATAATGAATCCTGTCCCCTCAAAACAAATAATCCCCTCCTGAGAGTGGATTCCAGTAAACCAAAGTACTTTCCAACAACTCCTTCTTCCCTTTTCATACATAGGAAGTTAATCAAGCATGTTCATGAAGGAATGTGAATATATATATTCTCCATTCCTAAGGGGAATACACTACTCCAGCCTGCTCCCCCGATCCTAGTGGCTGTGAGTCATGTATACAGAATATTTTTTCAGAAAGTTCTTTAAGGTCTTTCTACTTAAATACTTTGAATCCTGCCTTGTTCCTGATGGCTGTGGGCATCCCACGGTACTGTTTTGGGACTGTGTCTGCAGAGTTCTGTCACAGGTGACCCTTTGCTATGGTTATTTTCCACCAGGCTCAGTGATTTCTTGAGGCATGTTTCATTTGCTCTTTGATTCTTGGTCTGTCATTGCAGGTGTCTAATAACCACAACAGTTTGTGTTTATCAGCCATGTTGGGGCAAAAGCATCTTTGGCAAAGCTGCCCCTCCACAGGCTCTGGCTAAACCTTGGGGGCCTTTCAGCTCCTTTTGGTCTGGTGCTTCGGGTGTGCCCATTGTTTGCTGGTCTTCTGTCCCTGAAGCAGAGTCTGACAGGCAGAGGTGTGCTCTGTTTGGAAAGCATTCTGTAAAGAGGGTTTGTTCTGTCCTATTTTAGTTCTTGGTACACAGTAGAACCATAGCTATGTTCATGCTATTAAATGAAATATATGACAGCAATTATTTGGAGAAACCTAAGTCAAAGGCAGCTTTTTACCAGGACCTATATTGGAAAGTCATATTCTCTCTAACTCTGTCTGCCTGTCGTTTGTTTGTTTGTTTATTTTCCTCAAGACAGGATTTCTTTGTGTAACAGCTCTGGCTGTCCTGGAATTGTTTTATGTTTTTAAGATAGGGTTTCTCTGTGTAACCCTGGCTATCCTGGAACTCGCTCTGTAGGCCATGCTGGCCTCAAACTAATCTGCTAGGATTAAAGTCATGTGCCACCACTGCCAAGATGAAAAGATATTTTGTTTGTTTGGTTTTATTTTTTTATTTTTTGCTTTTTTGTTTTTCAAGTCAAGTTTTCTGTAACATCCCTGGGTGTCCTGGAGCTTACTTTTTAGACCAGACTGGCCTTGGACTCACAGAGATCTGCCTTACAAGTACTAGGATTAAAGGTGTGTGCCGCCACCACCACCTGGCAAGACATATTCTTGAAGTTATTTTTCTTTTTTTTTTTTTTTAAAAGATTTATTTATTATGTACACAGTGTTCAGCCTCCATGCCTGCAGGCCAGAAGAGGGCACCAGATCTCATTACAGATGGTTGTGAGCCACCATGTGGTTGCTGGGAATTGAACTCAGGACCTCCAGAAGAGCAGTCAGTGCTCTTAACCTCTAAGCCATCTCTCCAGCCCTGAAGTTATTTTTCTAAAGAAAATTTCAGTGCCCACTTGTAGTATTTGGAATTGTCAATCAATAAAATTCTTTTTGTTTGTGAAGGGGGTGTTGAAACAGGGTCTTACTGTGTAACAGGGTGGCCTGGAGCTTGGAATCCTCCTACCTCTGGCTTCTGACTGAGTGTTAAGATTATAGGTGTGCACTGTTGGTTCTTAAATTTATACTTTGACTATATCATGAGAACTTCTGGCAGCTAACTGATTATGAACATTTCAAAATGATGGCACAATTACTGTTTACCACTTAATGTTTGCTGTCATGTTACTATTTTCTTTTAGGATATTAACACAGACAGTGGCTTTCTGATGTGTTTGTTAGTGCAGGATCCAATGTAACCTCAAGTTGTATGTATGGACTAGACAGCCTGTGTAGGGTGACATTGACTTACCTGACTCATTCATTATTACACTGTGTTTTCCCCCCCAAACCAGGTTGTTCTGGCCCGAGAACTGGCCACTTCCAGAGAATATGCTAGTAAGTACTAACTCCAGTGAGCTGTGTGTCTGGGATTCAGGGGCAGTGCGACTTTTGTACATATGGCAGCCTGGGTAGTGGTAGGGCCTGTGCTGATTTCAGTCCTATGATGAAGGTTAGTCTTCTAGACCATGAAAGCTTGAGTGGGTGGTTTTGGGAAAACTACAGTTTATGTCAGTTACCTTTATAAATTTACTATTTTTCATATTTTCTAATGTTAGTAAACTTACTTCTTTCTTAAGTTAAAATTCTGGAGAAACGTCATATTATAAAAGAGAACAAAGTCCCGTACGTAACTAGAGAGAGAGATGTGATGTCACGCCTGGATCACCCATTCTTTGTGAAACTTTACTTTACATTTCAGGACGACGAAAAGTTGTGTATCCTTTGCATGGTCAGTGATGTCTGAAAACCACCTTGTGTTTTAGATTAGTGACTATGTTGTTTGTTCCTTGAAAGGAAAGGGCACAGCATGGATCCCTGTAGAGACTAATATCCTTGGAGACAACAGATTGTACCAGCACACGGCTGAGGCTCTTACTAGTGTGCCATCTCTGAAGGGGAAACCTTCCCACAGTGTTGGTGTTTATCGATAAATATTGTACCTAATGGATTGCTGTTTTAGCCGTAGTTGCTGAATATTGATGCAGAAATGTCCCCTCATTCCTTTAGCCAGTGTTCTGGAGTGTATGTTAGGTATTATTGACTTCTGCTTTTGAAAAGTGAGGGCCTGAGAGGAAAAATAATTTTGGGTCTTCTCAGGCTTCTAGAGTTGGCACCAACTTCTCCATACCCTCTTCCATTTTGAGTTTGGTCAGAGGGACAACTTGACTGGGCCTTTGAGAAATTCAAGAACCCAGAGTGCTGTGTAGCTCTGTCTCCTGGGCTTGCTCAGCCCCTCCCATTCCTAGGGCTGTTTGAACTGCCTCTCCAGCAGTTCTCCTTGTGTCTATGTTCAGCATTGTTTGTCCACATTCCTCTTCTTCTTTTCTTTTTAAATTTTATTTATTTATTTATTTACTTACTTACTTATTTATTTATTATGTATGCAATGTTCTGTCTGTGTGTTTGCCTGCAGGCCAGAAGAGGGCATCAGATCTCATTTCAGATGGTTGTAAGCCACCATGTGGTTGCTGGGAATTGAACTCAGGACCTCTGGAAAGAGCAGGCAATGCTCTTAACCACTGAGCCATCTCTCCAGCCCCTCCTTCTCTTCTTCTTCCTACTTTTTATTTCCGTACTCATTGTTTTTTTTTTTTTTTAATTTTATTTATTTATATATCTATTTATTTTGAGACAAGATTTCTCTGTATGGTACACGGTTAGCTTTGTAGTAAGAATATAGTGGGTGGTGGCCATTGTGTGAAGCGGGATCACATCTCAAGCCAGGAGGCAGGTGTGGTTGGACTTGCTTCTTTTTTGGGAGAATTTCCAATTACCAGTGAGTTTCAGGAGCCCAGTGCCCCAAAGAGATGCTGTAAACCCCGCTTCTTCCCCCACCTCACAGTCCTACCACCTGGAGACCAAGCATCTAGTCACATGCACCCTTGAGGAGACACTGTGGATAGCCAAGATAGACTCACCCATGCTTGACTTCATCTATCAGGGTTACAATGGTAGGATCAGAGCTTAGAAGCCAGACCAGAATGTCCTTGCTTGGTCTTGGTGATTTCTAAACGATACTGGCCATCAGTCCAGGTGGAAAGAACTCTAGGTCTTTGTCTAATGGCACATACTGTTCTTGGTCTAAGACTTAGAAGGTCGTAATGACTCCCCTACCTCCCATGAGAATGAGATCCAGTGGCTTCTCCCTTATTGGTAATCCTCACTATACATTGTATTGAGAAAGAAAAATGAAACTTTTTGCATGAAGAAATGCCCAGATACAACACTGTCCTTCATTTAGTCATAATTTCAAGTGAAGGAGAGGAACTAGTCCTTGTCTATTCACTTTTCGTTACCCTCGAGAGACTCAGGATGAACCCACACCCCTTCAGGACAAGTGAGTTGAAGCAGAACTTGGGGACACTTCTGCTATAGACTGGAAACAGACAGATCACTCAGGAACTACTCAGGGTTCTTCATTAGATTTTACTATAGCAGCCTGGGAAAGTGAGTCCAGAGGCTTGGTCAAGAGTAAGGTTTCCATATCTTGGTGTAGTCCTGGCTTGATCAGAGCCAGTGGGGGAACCTTCCTCTTCACACACAGATGAGGACCAAAGAGTTCTTAGACATAGTTCTTTTTACCCCCATCATCTTTAAACTTCTACCAGACCAGGCTGCCTGCTTGTCTTCATTATGTCTCATGTGCAGCATGGAGTCAGGACCACAAGACTGGGTTCTAGTCCTGTCCATTATTTGCTTTGTGAACTTGAGTCAGTTGCTTAATCTCTCGGCCAGGTTCCTCCTCTGCAAATTGCACACATTGGGCTATTGAGCTTCCTGATTAGGCATTTGGTTGTACCTGCCCTCCCAGGGGCTCACCCATTCTGTGACAGTTTTTGCTGCCCTGGAGCACTGACTATGGCCAAGAGGGTGGAGGATGCCCACTAAATTGTTGAAGTCTAAAAGAACATTCTGGAATGGGGAAGGATGTGATTGCGGAGAACCAGCAGCCTGAGAAATAATCCCAGGCACCTGTTATGTTTAAGACAACTTGCATCTGTTTCCCTCCTGAGCAAAGACCTATAGGTGTCCCTCTCACAGGAACCAGGAACCAGTGAAGGATCAGCTAAAGAGTAAAACCATGAAGCCAGAAAGAGAAGTTACTTCCTGTTCCCCTTACCATATGGCTGTGGACTTATACCTGGACTCCTAACTGGCGAGGCCCTTCTGCCAGCTTATGTCAGGCTAGACTTGGTGGCTCCATGGCATGTTTTAGGGTTTTATTTACTGATGTGATAAAACAAACAACTTGGGAAGTAATGGTAGTGGCATTTCCCTGTGTTTTAATAAATAAAACTTGCCTGAGGATCAGAAAAGTAAAAGCCACATTGGCCAGGTAGCAATGACACACACCTTTAATCCCAGCAGCCACACCAACTGCCATAGAAACCAGGTGGTAGTGGTGCACGCCTTTAATCCCAAAATAGAGAGGATTATAAAACAGGAGGAGACAACTCAGGTACAGTCTCATTCTGAGATTCTTGGAAGCAGGATCACCTGAGGTTGAGATAAGAGCCAGTGGCTGGCTGTTTTGCTTTTTGGGTCTTAAGGTTGAAGCCCAGTTTCTCTCTCTCTCTGAGCTTTTATTAATCGTGCTTCATTTGGGAAGAAAAGGGTTTATTTCAGCTTAGAGTTCCACATCATCATCTATCACTAAGGGATGTCAGAGCAGTAAATTAGGGCAGGGATCTCAAGACAGGAGCTGTTGCAGAGGCCGCAGAGGAGTGCTGCTTATTAGCTTGCTCCCATGACTTTTTCAGTCTGCTTTATTGTACAACTCAGAATTACCTTCCCAGGAATGGTACCACCCACAGTGGGCTGGGCCTATCCACACCAGTCGCTAATTAAGAAAATGTACTACAGTCTTACCTACCAGCAAATCTTTGGAAGGCAGTTTTTTAATTGAAAATTTCTTTCCAGATGACTCTGACAGAGACCTGCCCAGCTGCATCCTATCTACTCCCTCAAAAAGGAGATTTGATGCCATGTTTTAGCTAGTTTTATGTCAACTTGACACAAAGCATAGGTAGTCAGAGATGGGCCTGGCTGGGAGCATCTCTACCAGCTTTGGTTGTAGCCCTGTCTCTTCTTGGTTTGTTTTCTTCTCCAGAGCCTCAGGCTCCCTCCTTGGTGGTTGACAGGAATGCCTTGACAGACAAAAGCCAGAACGGAGAAAGAAGTTCACCTTGGCTTCTTTTATGAACTTCAAACTTGGATTCAGACTGCTGCTTAGTTTAGTCAGCCTTTGGGCCCTTGTGTCCCAGGCTGCCAGGGAGGTGTGGTATCTGGAGATTTCCAGTAAGAAGCACAAATGTTTGGTGCTTTGGAGGAAAACAGTCATTTGGAACTGTTTCTTGTCAGCGTTCTGTCCCCTTTGAAGAAAAATCATAAGTAGAACATGGGGGCGGGAGGTGTGTGGGAAGGAGAGGCTGACTATTTCTCATCTCTCCAGCAGGTATTTCTCAAATAGATCAAATGAATCGGAAAATTAAAATTGATATAAAGCATGTCACTTTTATGCACAGGATTGTTAGCATAGCCAGTGGAAGCAGCAAGGTCAGGCAGGGCCGTGGTGTAGCCACTCGGTTCTGTTAGGATGCTGTTTTCAGAACTGTGTTCTCCTGCACTTTAAAGCTGTCCACAAGTTAATGCTTTGGCCACGGTCAGTTGGTCCAACAGCCGTCTAGAGGCTTCCTTTCGTGGGCCACAGAGGCCTTTGAGGACCATGTGTCTAGAAGGGCACCTGGACTGAGAGGTGCTGTCCATGTTTTTTCAGGGACTGTCATTGTCCTCTTAGAAATTCTGTGCTGACACCTGGTCTTGGAGCATAGGTACCTTCAATTTGCACATGATGAAAAGAAAGTTCTTATGGGGTTTTTAAGGTTAATTTTTAGAAAACAACAACAACATATTTTTCCATTCTTCCTTAACTGCCAATGTTCAGATTTTGGCCTTAGTTATGCCAAAAATGGAGAATTACTTAAATATATCCGCAAAATCGGTTCATTTGATGAAACCTGTACCCGCTTTTACACGGCTGAGATTGTGTCTGCTTTAGAGTACTTGCACGGAAAGGGCATCATTCACAGGTAACGGACACTGCTCCAGATGGTGTGTACAGTATAGTCCCTGTAATGAGTGATAAGGGACAGTGACTCTGAGGCGCACAGATAACCCACACCAGCTCTCTGGGGTCAGCTTGGCTGGCTTTATAAAAGTTATGATGTAGGTATTTCCAGGTGATGGCTCACTTGAGAAAGCTGAAAACAGGCTGGAAATGAAAGGAATCTGCACTTCAAAGTCTCATGTCTAAGTCATCAGTTCAACTTGGGTGAGGTGTCTTCCTGTGACACTAGCAGATTAGATATCTGGCGCTTTTTATTTTGTCAGCTGTATAGCTTTTGTATCTATTTAATTCTGGTCACATTTTTCATTTCTTCATTTTGATAAAGGCAAATTAGAACTGTGATTTATGAACTAAAATAAAAGTTAAATAAAATGTTACTAAAAATGGCAGATGAAGCAGAGAGGGTGGCCGTGGAAGCGGAGGTGTTAAGATGTTTATAACAACTCACCTGCTTGAAGATAAAAGTAATACAGTTATAAAATGATTTGGGAATGCCTATATTCTATGCTGTTGATTCTTGTTTGATATGAACTTTGGGATTGTATTCTTGGTTTTTAGTCTGTAATGGAAAAGAGTCATCCCTTTATTGTGTTTCCATCAAAATGTACAGTGTATGATAATGCTGCTACTTTAAACATTTCATCTTAAAGGTAAAATTCTACTTTTACAGAGACCTTAAACCAGAAAACATTTTGTTAAATGAAGACATGCACATCCAGATCACAGATTTTGGAACAGCAAAAGTGTTATCCCCAGAGAGCAAACAAGGTATGTTTGCTTGATTTTTCAGTAGAGCCTTGTTTTAGGCTTGATGCCAAGAGCAACTTTGAGCAACATGTTACACTGTTTGATTCCTTTTGACGCCTCATAGTGTGTGAAATCTAGTAGTAGATAAGGACCAAAGATAGCTTGGCTAGTTCTTGCTCCGTAGAACATATGTCAAGTCACTTGTGAACTAAGGGTAGAGTTGGTGGCAGCTATATGTACTACAGGTGATACTTTGAGAGCACATCCTTGGACTCCATTGTCTTCCTCTCACCCATCCTTCAGTCTTCCCATCTGATGTATATAGCTGCTTATGACGGCCCATGCATCCTCAGGAAGATTCTAGGAAAATTATATGAGCAAGGGTTAATTTTGCCTATTTATTTCAAGTTCTGTTCAGTGTTAGCACATAGCCTTGGATCATACTGTGACACCTTTACTGTTGGGGGTCGGGGTGGGAGCTGCTGAGACTCCATTTGGGCCAGAAAAGTGGGATGGCTTCTGCCACTAACATCCTCATTGGATAGAAATTGCCCACTCTAGAGATATAAAAAATAACAATTAGACTCCTAAGGACTCTGCCACACCATTGAGTTGAGACAATAACCCAGAAATCCAAAGTGAGATGTGGTGATATCATCTAACCAAGGCAGAACATGTTCAGAAGACAAGATGGGGCAATGGGAAGAGGAGGAACATATGTGAGGTGATGTGCACTCAGGAAATAGCACATCCGTCATATGTTCTGTGAGGGCAATGATGCTGTCTGGGGGAAGGAAAGCTGCCTGGTAGGTTAATAATGACCTTCCAAAGGGTCCTTGTTTTCGAGATGCATGTGACTCTTTTTGAGCTGTGTGACCTTTTTGCCTGTGCTTTGGGTCTCAATGAGAGACAGACCATTAAGGAAGGCACTGTGGGATATGGTTGGCCACAGGCTTGGAGCACAGTTGTTTTAGTGGAATGAAGAGTCTGATAGGCACTTTGCAGTGTGTAGTTTTATGGCTATGGCTACCTTTTGGAAAAGACCATGCAAGAGCACAGTGTAGTAGGCTTATGGCCCATTTCTACAAACAGCAAGCCAATACATGGGAACCAGGGAGGATTACAGCTGGGACTGAAATAGAGTCTAGGCAATGAAACAAGTTTTGTTCACATGGTGCTGTAGGAGATGGCCAGCTGGAACCTTGCATTTCCTTCTGTGTGCTGTTCCCACACGTGTTCATTGTCAGACTTTATATGTTCTTTGCCTCTGTACAGTCCTTCTGTACTGGTGACATACCTATACTACTTTCTGGGGATAGCAAGCCTTGCCTTTGAGGAAAGAGGCTTCCTTAGGTGGTGTAGTATTGTGCCCTTGCTGCCCCTTCTGTCATTGCTAAACCTGATACCTGACTGATTCATTCCAAGTCAGTAGTAGTTATCCTTCTGTCCAACAATGCTGATTTTATAGACTTGGTATAACCTTATATTATAGCCTTGAACATTGTCCATTTTAAAGTTACACCAGATAGCCACTGTAATGGTTTGTTCTGTCCCTTTAAGAGACAAGCCCCGCCCACTCCCCCCTCTGCTGAGGCAGACCGATCTTCTTGCTTGCAGCCTGAGTCTCTTTCTTTTCCATCTCCCTCTTGAAGAGGCAGCTTCTGCTTCTCCTCACTTTTCCCCTTCCCCCCTTCTCTCTCTCTCTCTCTCTCTCTCTCCC